ATATTGACTTCTTGAAACAAAATAAAGAGTTCAATTTCCATACAAATCTTGAAATTTACAAATTATTAATAAATTAATCATTTATTTAAATTTATATATTTAATTAATTATTTATAACTATGCCAATATTCAGATTTTATTGTATCTATATTAGTAATTACGCTTTGCAGGCATGTTTTATCTTTACTGTGTTTTCGTCGTCACATTGTGACAGCAGGCAATGCCCGACTTTTGCTGCGTTTCTTCCGTTACGTTGTAACGGCAGGCCATGCTTGATATCTGCCGCATTTCTGCCATCAGATCTAATATGGCAGACTTCGCTCGATATTTGTTACATATCTGCTGTCACGACGTAATAGCAAATAATATTCGATTTTTGCTCCATTTTGTCTGTTATATTATATCGGCAAGCCGTGCTGCCAGAAATTAAGCTTAATGAGGACACGGCAGAGCGGAATCTACTGCGAAGTCATGGAATTGAATTGGCTGGCATACTGCTGGCATACTGCTAGCATTTTGCTATCTGGGTACATATACAGAGTGTTCCACCAAAAGTCGACACCCCCTTTTATCTTTTAAACTAAAAGAGATAGATCGTAACAATTATATATCAAATTAAATGGTTCAAACTGAACCCTATTGTGAGCATAGTAGTTGCTTTCAAAAGCTATCTGTGGTAACGAACGGATGAGAGCTATGCATAATTTTTTTATAATAATGTGGGTATTTTGATATAATAAAAGTTATAACGCTGTTTGAATCGAATACAACAATGTATGATATAATGTAAATATTTTACATGTTATACGAGTTTTATCGACTTGAAATATGGCTGGCGACGTCTACCTTTTCATTTTCAGCCCTGCAATATGGCCAACTTCTGAATCTACATGAAGCTAGCCGGCAGAAATTATTAAATATGATTATTTTTAACTTTTTTGAGTGTATTTTGTTTGTGATTGATTGTGAGTCTGTTTTTAGCGTTTGTGACAAATTAAGTTTTTTGTAATTAACAATTTTAGTTTAGTCATGATATCAGCCGATACTTTTTAGTAATAAATAGATTTTATGATAACTGATAACTGTAATTAATAGGAAATTGTTTGTGATTTACAAATATACCAATGTTACGTTTGTGAATTGATAAATTTTTTAATTATGTGCAAAATAAGTTTATTTTATAAATGTAGTGCGCATGCGCAAAGTATACTCAGTGCTCCTGCCCACAGAGAGCGCATCGACGCGTAAGGCCGGATTTACAATAGGTGTAGTATGGTTTAAGCCGTAAAAATATTATCAATAAATAATTGATTATTTTCCTCACATTTGACTGTGATTAATCAATTTCTTATGGCTTGAGGCTTACTACACCTATTGTAGATCTGGACTAAGAGTAAGGATGATATTATATTTGTCGTACAATAAACTTTTTAAGCATACTGATTGGCTGCAAAATAGAAAGTTTCTTGAGTCTCTAGAAATTAGCTAATTAATGCGCTTAAAAAGTTTGTTGTACGACAATTTAATAATTTCTGCCGGCTAGCTTCATGTAGGTAACTTCTGACTCGTGCATTAGAGATTGACATATACGTTATGTTGTCATTTGATCGTAGATATATTATATATAGATAGAGCTTTATCTGTCTTATGGCTCTCGCACACTGGATATCAATCATGTAACTTTTTTCCTAGGGCGGAAACGTGAAAAGTGAAAAACATTAGCATTGAAATCAATGGTAAAATTTTTCACTTTTCACTTTTCCGCCCTAGGGGAAAAGTTACATGATCGATACCCTGGACGCGATGAGCGATGAGCGATGGGCGATATCCAATGAGAGCTCTGCTTTTCCGAACATCACATCCGTCGCGAGGCTCTGCGCGACGTCGCTCAAAAAGTTGGTCAAGTTTCTACTTTCGTCGCTCGCGATGCGCGCAAGCCGGCGACAACCATAAACTACACAGAGAAAAATGTATAACTGTACAAAGTGATATCATGGACCATGATTAATCAGAAATAAATTTCGAGAATATAGAAAATATGAAAATAAGTTTTTGTTCATTAAATTAGTATTATTTTTATTATTACAATTATATATATAACTTTTTATTATTATTATTATATATTATATGATTGAAATTTATATGTATATTTATAAACAACAAATATAATAACTAAAAACTGTAAAATAAAAATAATTTGAGATACAATATAAGTTTCTTTATTGTCCAGGAGAGTAAAAAAAGAGAGATGAGTTTTGTGGAATTTTTCAAAAGCTGTTTTTATTAATTTTTTTAAAATGTTGTTTTAATATGAAAAATGTTGTTTTAATATCAAAATGTTGTTTAATATAAAAAATATGTTGTTTAATATAAAAAATAAAATTATTTAATATTGGTTTACAAACGTATTGATTTACAAATGTATATCTATATTTACAAATAAATGATAGATAATTCTATTATTAAAAAACGTCTTATTGTTAGGTTGATTCAGACTATATGGCACGGACCGTAACGTATCGGCAACGGCACGTACCGGCACCGATACGACAAATTAATGTGTATGTTCAGACTGCTTCGGCAATCGTCCGTCAATCGACGGTTGACATTTAGCAATCATAATGGATGGATCATTAAAGATAGATAAAAAATGTTTAAAAATAATTAAAAAGAATTTTCAACTACCGTCTCACGCGCGCGAAGTGTTTCGAAAATTGTGTTCAAAATAATGAGCTAAAAATTTCAGCTTTACAATCAAAGGCTGAAGTTAAAACCAGAAAATGCAGATAAAATCATTTTGAATACGTACATTTTGCACATATATCTCCGAGACTATAGTATTAATATAGACCATGCGTATAATCATAGCTCTGACACTGATTTGACAGAATTTTTTATCACAGAACACGGCCGTGTTGAATGGCAAGACACAATAAAAAAACTATTTTATAAAACTTTACATAAAACTTATAAAACGCTCATAAAACTTCACATTTTCAATTAATTTTTCCTGGTCCATCTTTTGCTGCGTCCGTTTTTTGCTGTTTACTGATTCACATTGACAGACAAGCATCGATACGTACCGACACGCACCGTCAAAACATTCTTTGCGAGAATGTCGGCCAGCGCCGAAACGTTCCGTTGATGGAACGTGCCGGTCGGTGCCGATTAGTGTAGACAGTCTTATTTAAAGTGCATTGTTCAAAGTTTTGTCGTGTCGGTGCCGTTGCGTGCCGTTGCCGATACGTTACGATCCCTGCCGTATAGTCTGAATCGACCTTTATTCGTTTTATTTGTTAAAATATCTGCCAATAGCTGATTCCATAGAGTGCTATATTCATATAATTACAAATGTGACATTTATAAATTATGTTATTGTTTTAAGTTAATTACTTTATTTTGTAAATTTAAAGTACTTACCAGTATATCATTATATTTCGTGTATATTCTCTATTCTCTATCAATGTAATATTTCAGTTCTCTTTTTATTAATAAATACACACTCTTTACTAGTAAACACAATGCCAATTTAATTCGATTTTCCGATTTTGCATCACTCATCGCTCGTTGCGTTCAATCGCCTCAAATCGCGTTTAGTGTGAACGAAAGAAAATAAATTTTTACAAGATCGTTGCGCATCGCTCATCGCACATCGCCCATCGCGTCCAGTGTGTGAGGGCCATTACTGTCTGCCAAGATAATAAGATACTTTCCTCCCTCGCGCATGTGCAATCGCGCATTTCTCCCGACAGCCGAGAAAATAATCTATTGTTGACGAGAAAATAACCTCTTTTATTTTATGTAGAAGATACTGTTTAATAAAAATACAATACATTTAATTTCTCGCACTTGTTAATTCTTAAATTTCTTAAAATTTTAATGCAAATTTCAAATCCTTACAAACAATGTGCGTCCCCCAAGAGAAACGTATGAATGCGCATGCGCAAGGGAGGAAAATCTGCTATTTATCTTGGCAGACGCAGCTCTAAGGCAAAGATTACACAAAACTCTATCTATATATAATATATCTATGCATTTGATCATAAGATCAAATGATTTCGAGTCAGAAGTTGGCCACATCACAGGGCTGAAAATGAAAAGATAGACGTTGCCCACGATATTTCAAGGGTAAAACTTAAGATTAAGGGCGACCTCACCGATTTCAATGACCTTGATATATGTTGTCAAAGACATAATTCTGAATAACTTTTTCTTCTAATTTAATCGTCGCTCGTTGCTTATTAAAAAGTTATTAACAAAAAAAAATTTGTAAAAATCAAGATTTATACATAGTCTGACAATGAAA